TACCCACCTTGGCTGGCCTGGCGCCGCCCACTTGCTGGCCCCACCCCTTGCTGCTGCCGCTGGTCACTTCTCTCTGTGGGGCGACTGGCGGGGTGATTGGGGCCCCCACTGGTACCCACCTTGGCTGGCCTGGGGCCTGCAGGCTGGAGGCAGCTCCTGCATTGAGCATCTGCCCCCTGGTGGTCAGTGTGCATCATAGTGACTGGTCGTAATGTTGTTCGGTTGATTTGCATATTAGGCTTTTATTATATAGGATGATCAAGAAACTCCTGGAAATCTCAGAATTCCATGTTGTAATCTTCATCTTAGTAAAATAGCAGAATAAGAAAATAATATTTCAATTAAGTATTTCTCTCATGAGGACCCACAATCAAGTAATGTTTTAGGAACTTAGAACCATTCAATGATTCCATTATGGAGCTTTAAACTGTGCCACCTTATGAAGACTACAACATGGAATTAAATACTCTTGCATTATAATGTAAGATTATTTTAGCTATGCAACTCCCCTCCCCCAACCTATTTGGAAGAAAAAGACCTGAAGAAAAAAACAACACACACAGTAATGGTAGGTATTTTAGTATGAATTGGAAGTGAATTCAGTGATGAGAATATCTTAATTTTATAAAATCATTTTTAAAAAAGTTACTAAAATATGACATAAAAATAATAACATTTGCTTACTATATAAAGTCCTATCTAAGCTCTAATCATAGGCTGCTAGACCAAATGTCAGGAAGTGTTTTCTCCTTAAAGGGTCAGAAAGTCAGTACTTTAGGTTTTGCAGGCCAAGGGACAGGATTGAGGCCATTTGTGAAGGTACTTGTGTTGGTTTCCTAAGGCTGTGTAATTAAATGCTACAAACTTGGTGACTTAAGAGAACAGAACAGTTGTGGAGGCCAGAGATCCCAAACCAGTATCAGTGGGTGGATTTCAAGGTGCTGGCAGGGCCCATTCCCCTAGGGTGGGGTGGGGGGCTCTAGAAAACACTCCTTCCTGTGGAGCTGGTCACTCCAGCCTCTACCCCCATCTTCACTTCCCCTTTCCTGCGTGTGTGTGTGTGTGTGTGTGTGTGAACTCTCCGTCAACCTTAGTATAAAGGACGCTTATGATTGCATTTAGGATCCGTCAGGATATTCCAGGATAGTCTCTCCATCTCATCCTCAATGTATCACAGCTGCAAAGACCCCTTTCTCCATGAGGTGACAGGTATAGGTTCCAGGGCTTAGGACCCGATATCTTCGTGTGGCCATTATTCAGCCACTACAGTGCTCGTTTACAAAAGAGGAAAACTGCCACCTGCCTCATTCCTGGGGCTTTCCTGGGTGGATTTTCTGAGTGAAGGACACACCTGCCCCTGGTTGTTGTCAGCAAGAGAGATTTTGTAGACTAAGCGACAGGCCTGAGTGTGTGTGTGTGTGTGTGTGTGTGTGTGTGTGTGGAGGGGGGAGGGGGAA